CCGGCCCACGACCTTGCGGGCTCCAGGCCGCGCACCCCTCGCGCCCAGCCTGTGCGCGCCTGCCGCTGGGGAAGGCAGAGGAGCCCCGAACGTCCGACGGGCGCGGCACGCATTCGTTCCGGGTGGCCCACTGGGCCCTGAAACTGTCCCCAGGGGAGCCCGGGGACCCTAGGGTGCACCTCGGGCAAGGAGACTTGGCCGCAACTGGCGACAGGGGCCTTTTGGGGAGGGTGTGAACGCCGGGTTGTGCCGCAGGAGGTGGCCAGGCGCCCTGACTTGTAGGAGGGTGTGAGAGTCCATCTCGCGGCGGGAGGCCCATGGGGACCACCCTCTCTCCTGGCAGTGCAGGAGGTGGCCCAGGCCCCAGGCCCTGACCTCCGGCAGCGCCCGGTCTTCCTCGCGGCCCTCTCCTCCCCCTCCCCTCAGTTCCTGATGGCCACCAACTCCCTGAGCACGTGCTGCGAGTCGGGCGGCCGCTCGCTGGCGGACTCCGGGTCTGCTACCTCGGCCCAGGCGCCCGTCTACTGCCCGGTCTACGAGAGCCGGCTGCTGGCCACCGCGCGCCACGAGCTCAACTCAGCTGCGGCGCTGGGCGTCTACGGCGGCCCCTACAGCAGCTCGCAGGGCTACAGCAACTACGTGACCTACGGCTCCGAGGCGTCCGCCTTCTACTCGCTGGTAAGGAGACTCTGCGCCGCCCTGCCCCTTCCCGCCACTTGCCAGACCCCCCCCAACACACACACACACACACACAGACACACACACACACACACACACACAGACACACACACACACACACACAGACACACACACACACACACACACACACACAGACACACACACACACACACACACACACACAGAGACACCCCCCTCCGGAGCTAGTCCTGGGTGTTGGGCTGTGGCAGGAGGAGCACACACCTTTGCTGGTCCAACTTTGCGCCTCCCAGCGGGTCCCCTGGATCCCATCACTCCCCCCGGGTTGGGGTGACCAGCAGGTGGGCCTTGGGCAGCTGTGCTTAATGTACTGTTTTAAATTCTCATGGGATCCCTGGCTGGGCCTGAGCCTGCCCTCCCCCCCACACCCCTGTCTCCCTCACTCCCCGCCCAGCTGCCCCCCACCCCTCACTGCTAGGCCTCCTTCCCTGGCGCTTTCTCTCACTCCGCCTCTGAGGCACCCTAGGCCTGGGTCTCCCCACCCCATTCTCCCCCCATTCTCCCCTCCCTCTCTGTCCCCCTCTCCTCTGCATGCTCTCCCTTTCCCCTCCCTCCTCAAGCCCACTCTCACAGCAACCCGCCCTCTCCCATCCCGGCTCCTGCTTTCTGCTTCCTCCTTTTATCCTGGCCCAGTCCTCTCTCCCCTTCCCCTCACGTCCCTCCTCCCTGTGTGCCCCCTCCTGGCTGCAACACTACGCCCCCAACTCATTGTGTTCTGACTCCACATCTGGGGGGCGTTCCAAAGCTGTCGGGAAACAGGGTCCTTACTTTGCTGCCAGTGTGGGACTGCCCAGGGGTCTGGGCCAAATGCCCTGGGGCGAGGGGCCGGGGAGGGGGTGGTCACATCCCGGAAGCTGTAGCCCCAGACTCTTGGTTTCCACAGAACAGCTTTGACTCCAAGGATGGGCCAGGATCTGCGCATGCGGGCCTGGCACCAGCCGCCGCAGCCTACTACCCCTATGAGCCGGCCCTGGGCCAGTACCCCTACGACAGGTAAGGGCCCCTCCTCCCCAGCTCTCCTGGGTCAGGCCTGGACTGACTCTGTCCATCTCGTCCTGGCAGCCACGGTTAGGACGTGTCCCCAGCCTCCCCAAGCCTGTCCCTACTCTGGGACTCCAGAAGTCCACCCTGTGCTGCCCAGGGCACAGCAGCCTCATCACCAGACTCGGGCATGTCCCTCCACCCCAAGAAGTGCAGGGGGTCGGCCCCTCCTCCACCGCCCCCTGCCCCCCGCAGTGCAAGCTAGGAGGAGGAGGGGGAAGGAGCCCTGTGGCCCTCCACACCTATGCATGCAGCTTTGGGCAACCCTCCCAAATTTAGCCACAGTCCACTTGGGCGCCTGAACCCAGGGGCAGTCATGGCCTTCTTACCCGCAGGCCTCACATATTAGGATGTGGGTTCCCATGCCTGTGACATCTTTTTGTGGTTTGGGGATCAAAGGGGCAGGGGAGAAGTCCCATGAAATAACTCGAAGAAACAACTTCCTTGGAATGACAGGCCGGGACCTGGGCTTGGGAGGGACCCCAGGCTCCCTGTAACTCTGACCAGAACATTCACCCTCGCCCTTGGACCACAGAAGGCACAACATGGGCCGCAGACAGCGGACAGCGTGCGTTGGCACCAGCTGGGGGGTGGGCCCATGGGTCTCCTGACCCCACACTCCAGAAGCCAAGCCTCTCCCTCTCTGCCAGGTGAGGGGTGGGGGGAAGGTGGGGGGGCGGTGCTCTAGGCTGAGCCTGTCTCCAGGTACGGGACCATGGATGGCAGCACGCGGAGGAAGAACGCCACGCGCGAGACCACCAGCACGCTCAAGGCCTGGCTGCAGGAGCACCGCAAGAACCCCTACCCCACCAAGGGCGAGAAGATCATGCTGGCCATCATCACCAAGATGACCCTCACGCAGGTCTCCACCTGGTTTGCCAACGCACGCCGGCGCCTCAAGAAGGAGAACAAGATGACCTGGCCGCCGCGGAACAAGTGCGCCGACGAGAAGCGGCCCTACGCAGAGGGCGAGGAGGACGAGGGCGGCGAGGAGAGTGTGCGGGAGGAGCCCCTCAAGAGCTCCAGGAGCGAAGGTGGGCCCGGAGGCTGCACGCGGGGTGGGCACGGGCGTCCCTGGGCTCTGGGATGGAAAGGATGGCAGAGAGGCTGTTTGGGGCAGGGCACCGGTGCCGGCCCCATTCCCCCCACCTCCTCTGCAGTTCTGGGATGGGGTCACCGGCTGGTCATCAGCCTGTGAACCCTTCGGTGTCAGGCTCTGGGCAGGGGGTCTGTGGCGGGGACCCCTGCGCTGGCACAGAGAAATCCAAAAAGGCACATCAGACGCCCTCCGCTCCTGTTAATTGGAGGCTGACACATGGGGGTTTGGAGGAGGTGCAGAAAGGCCTGGAGAGCGCCCCCCACCAGTCCCCAGTGGGCTGGTGGTGGGGAGGGGCTCTGGCGAGCCCAGTCCTCTCTGGATCCATGGCCACGTGTTCTCTCCTGGCAGAGTCCGTCCACAAAGAGGAGAAGGAGCTGGAGCTCAGTGACCTGGACGACTTCGACCCTCTGGACACGGAGACCCCGGAGTGTGAGCTGAAGCCGCCCTTTCAGCCCCTGGACGGCAGCCTGGAGCGCGTCCCCGCCATGCCCGACGGCCCGGGCAAGGAGGCCTCCAGCGTGCTCCGGATGCCCCTGGCTGGCGGCAGAGCCACTCTGGACGAGGACTTAGAGAGGGCCCGGAGCTGCCTCCGGAGCGCAGCAGCCGGGCCCGAGCCACAGCCATGCGCAGAGGGCGGCCCCCAGGCCTGTGAGGCCAAACTGGCCTTCGCGCCAGCTGGGGCAACGGCGGGCCTGGAGGCCAAGCCCCGCATCTGGTCGCTGGCTCACACAGCCACCGCCGCCGCCACAGCTCTGAGCCAGACTGAGTTTCCATCATGCATGCTCAAGCGCCAGGGCCCCGCTGCCTCTGCGGCTGCAGTCTCCGCGCCCCCTACAGCCTCACCTGTGGCCCCGGCACCCCCAGGACCCCTGGACAGGCACCAGGACTCCCCGGTGACGAGCCTCAGAAACTGGGTGGACGGAGTCTTCCATGACCCCATCCTCAGGCACAGCACTTTGAACCAGGCCTGGGCCACCGCCAAGGGTGCCCTCCTGGACGCGGGGCCTCTGGGACGCTCGCTGGGGGCAGGTGCCAACATGCTCACGGCACCCCTGGCACGCACCTTTCCACCTGCTGCGCCCCACGACGCCCCAGCCGCTGGCACCACCTGTGAGCTGCTGGCCCTGCCGAAGGCCAGCAGCAAACCCTTTTGCGCCTGATGTGGCCAATGCCTGAGCCAGGAGGGACCTAGCGCCCAGGCCCCTGGCATGGACTCGTCCCTCCCAATTTCCAAAGGAAGGCAGGAATGCCACCAAGGTCAAGCCCCAGCCCTCCGGTGGGGGCGTCGGGACTCGGCCTCTTGGGACCATGGACAAGCACCACGCGCTGTCACACCAGACGCTCGGACCCCACCTGGTCTCTGGGCGTGGCAGGAGAGGCTCTCTCCGAGCAGAAGGAAGCCACCCCAAAGCTTCAAGTTTACATCTAAAAGTTTACATGGAGCCAGCCGCTCGGCCTCTTTCTGCAGTCTCCTCGTGGGTTGGGGCACACCGGCATTCGTGTGGAGGACTCCTCAGCCTGGTTATCTTCCGTTTCATCCTCAGCACATAATCCTCACCAACAGCACTCCCCACCGAGTTCACACTGTTGCACACTCTTGACTTGAATTGTTTTCCAAAATGTATGTGCACACCAGTAATTGCCTGCTCAGGAGGCTGGTATAACAAAACCAATAAAACCTAGTGATGGTGTTTGCATTGCAAGATGAACACATGCCACACCTGGGGACTGGAGGACTCCAGAAGGCAGGGTCAGTCCCCAGAGGGAGCAGGGTCGGGAGCTGAGCAGACCCCCTCACGAGTGACTGGCTTGCTGGCCCCTAGACTTGCGGTCCAGACGCTTTAAGAAAATGGGCGCTGTTGAGCTTGAGGCTCTGCTGAACTCCTAAGCATATGCCAGACCCAAGCTCTCCACGACCAACTCCGAGAGTGAGACAACAGGGGTTTCTTTGACAATCAGAACAAATCAGACCATTAGAAATTGTGCTTAGAACAGTTTATAAACTCTCCAAGTCCTTGGGCTGTGTCCTGCGGTTCGTGCGTGGGAGCCCACCCCTGCTCTGAGGTCTTTCTCTAGGGAAGTCCCCAGCATGCCTAGCGTTGTCTCCCACCGTCACCAGGTCCCCGGGCCTCTTCCTTTTCTCTCTCCCTTCCTGCGGAGTCCGCGGGGCTATCTGTTTTCCTGCTCCAGAGAAGAAACCGGTAGGCCAGAGCTGGGCAGGGCTGGAAGAAAGGGCCTGGGGCCATGGGAAGGGCCTGCAATCAATGGGCCTGGGAGGAGGCCGCAGCGGGTGTTGGGTTCCAGTGCGCCACAGGGACCTAGGCTTCACTCGGAAGCCCAGTCCCGACCTCTCTGCGCAGGCGGGGTTTGCAGGTGGACTCTCCTGGCTCCCTCCCTGCAAGCATCCCCGGGACCCTGCGTCTGGCCAGGTCTGCGAGAGGTTCCTGGGCAGCGGCCACGGCCCGCACCGGCCTCCCTCTCAGCAACTCTGCTCAACACCTGCCAGTCTCGGGAAAGCTGGGATGTCCCAAGGAAGGGTGGACAGCCGAGGGAAGGACCAGGAGGCGACGGTGGCCCTTGCCTGGGATGGGGCAGAGATTGACAGCCGCGGAGACCCCAGCTGGAGACCCGGTTCAGCAGGCGGCCTTCCGGGGACACGCCAGGCTGGGGCTTCCTTGGGGGAGCCTGGGGCTGGGCAGGACCAGACTGGGGCCTTGTGCGGTCCTCAGTCCGGGGAAAGGGTCCCCGGCGGGCCGGGCGCTCTGGAAAGCGAGCCCCCCGTGGGCCTTCTGGCGGAGCGCAGGGGCCTTTACGCACCGAGGGGGAAAACCGTGCCCGGAGAGTGCGCGGTCCCAGAGCAGGGGCCCCGCCCGGGACCCCAAAGGCACGATCCCAACCGGCCTCCAGGGGACACCTCGGCCGTCACGTCTTGCGGACCCCGGTGGTGACCGGGGCTTGGAGCCGGAGCCTGCCCGGCCGGTCTTGGTAATTGGATTGTATCCGCCCGCGCTGTCACCGTATTGACTTTCGCCGCCTCGGATGATATTATCGAGACGCGGAAGCTCGCGGCTGACGCGCCTGTCAGAGGCTGCGCGGGGGCCCGGCCGGCGCAAGCATCAGCCAAGATAATTTGAAGTGAAATTTTCATTTTGACAGTAAACCCCTCAATTTCTAAAGGCTTCGCGTTCCGAGAGCGCGCTGGCAGGGGGAGGCTTTGCAGAAAGCCCACGTCTTAGACTGAAAAGGGCAAAAGAACTCGAATTAGTTGTAATAGATAAAAGGGCAAAAATAAAGAGTCGAGGGCACTTGACAGTAATCGCGAAAGTGGAGTCTCCCGGGAGGAGCGCAGCCATGGCTGGGGCGCCAGGAATTTTAATGTGGCCGAGGGCGGCTGCCTGCATGCCCCCGCCCAGACCCAGACAAAGCCGGGCCTTTCCTGCAGAAGAGGTTTCGCAGAGGCAGGCAGCGCCGTCGGACCGTTGGGGCAGGGGCTAGGAGGCAGACATTCGAGGCAGGACCTCCACCCTGGCCGGGCTAGGGTGCCCAGTGCAGCCCGGGACGTGGGCAGGTGGGGGAGGGCCCCTCCCTCTGGGAGCGCCTGCGGCCCAGTGGGCTCCTGCTGGCACCCAAGCTCGCTGCCTTTGGGACCTCAGGCCATGCCTGACCCCTGGCCTTTCCCTGAGGCCCTGGCCTTCAGAATCCCACATGCAGGAGTCCCAGGTCAAGGAGCCAAAGTGCTTATTTTAATAACCTGCAAGACTGAAATAAAGACGTCAAGCGGGGAGGAGGATTCGGCCACATTCCGGGGGACATGCAGGCAAGGCTCCCCCTCACTCACATCCCTTCCCTCTGGGGACACAGTGGGTCTGCCAGGGGCCCTACCCACCCTCTGGTCCATCTCTGGGGTGGGGGGACGGCAGGCTTAAGGATGGTGAGGGGGAAGAATGGAGAGGGAAGGGGATTTAGGCTTCTGAGTAACCTGGAGTGGGGGTGACAGGGAAGGGGTGGGGTCTGGGGCCTGGCTCCCCGGAGAGCCAGGCAGGCCGGGAGGCTGGACTGGGACCCGCCGGGGCGCTCAGGCATGGCGAATTCAAACCCACAAGGAGGGGTCGAAATTACCGGCTTTACATAGACCCCAAATAAAACTGTACTCAGCGGTGCGTTACTTTTCATTAAGCGGCTGTGACAGCGGCATATTCAGACTCGACAGGGGAGCGGGCGGGAAATATACGGCGGGGGGCGGCCGGCGAGATCATTCCTTAAGCTCCATTAACAACCCTTAGCCGCGGGAAAACGTCGCCGAATCTAAAAGCTTTATCGACCCCGCAAACCGCGGCTGATGACTCCATTTTTTTCTTTTTTCTTCCTTTCCTCTTTTTTTTTTTTTTAAACTTAAGGGAGAGGCGTCCAGCAAGGTAATAGAGTTTGACACGACACCTTCTTAACTAGCGAGAGAGGCAGGGAAGCCGGCCCTTAAATGAGATTTAAAAGGCAACCAATTAAGATTTAAAGTGGCGTCTCCCGAGATTATGCAAGCCACTTCCGCCACCTGCCTTCCCGGGCGGCAGGCTGAGGAGGCCGCCTCCCTCTCCCACTCCGGCCTCGGCCTCCCTCCCTCCCGCTCTGCCTCTCCCTTTCCCCTCT